TTTTATTTTTCGTTCCATCATCTTTTCTTTTAGACCACAGTAGATACTAGATTATAGATCAAGTCGAAAAGCCATAATTGGAGCTATGAAATCAAGCAATGGTTTTCCAGAGTCCTCATTAGAAACCCCACACCTAAAGCAGTCTCGTAGGCGACTTTTTTGATTTGATCTATAATCAATTACTTATTTCGAACATTTCCTGGAACTTTCATGTAGTTCCAATGAAATATGAATGAGTTATGAGCTTTTACATTTCAACCGTACATAGCGGAAAAGGTAGGTTTTCTAAAAAAAAATGCTCATTCGAAGTTACATTAATCATGAGAACAAAATAAACATTGCGACGGTGATCAGCAATGTCTATAACCTATAGTCCATGTCTCTTTTTATTCTCAATTTAAAGTTGCGTAGGATAGGTAGGTCTGCGGAAAATGCTTGTAACTCTTGAACCAAAAGCGATAGAGACTTGGGATCTGCATAATTTTAAAGAGAGCACTTCGGAGGATAGAATCAACATTTTGAAATTAAAAATCCCTTCTTTTCCCTAAAACCGGACAGCTGACAGACATTGTTCTGAAGATTTAGCATGGTAAACCTCATTTGGAGATTTGATTTTTCATAGTTTCATTTCCTATCAGCTCCTCTATCCAGCAGTGAAAACTGTATCGTTCTAAGTCTTTCTGTTAAAAAGTTATTCAAAAATTGCTGTGGATCATTTTTATGAACGGATAGTTGAATTGTTTAAACAGTAAGATGGACAGAATTCAAACTTCGAGTGAAATTTATTTTTCACTTTTTCACATGCCATTCGATAGAGAATTTGGCGCTGATCACAAATATCGACTTTTTAAAAAAGATTTTACCGGTCGAAAAATCGAAAGAAAATTCCAAAAGTCAAAATCCGAATCGTTTTTTTGCAAGCCTTATTTCGTTTCTTGTAGACATCTCAGAGCCAATATATGTACATGGCTAGATCCGCTGTCTACTCCTCTGCAAAAGTATACGCGTAGATTTTTTCGTTGTTTTTCTCAATAAATTCAATTTTATTGAATTTTCACGTTGAGATTTTCATCAAAAAATAAAAATAAACAAAAGATTTCGAAATACACATCGATCGATTCGTCTTTTGGTTCTGATTCCAAATATGATATTTTTATTCCATAGAAGTTGCGTTCTGTTGGAGAACTTGAGAATTATGAGGAGAACGACTTTGATTTTCGCCTCTGATTCAGAAAAACGATTTTTCACAACGACGAAAAAAAGTTCAAAAATCTACGCGTATACTTTTGCAGAGGAGTAGACAATGGATCAAGCCAATGTACAAATATTGGCTCTGCGCTCTCTACAAAAACTCTTCTGAAGATGCACGATTCTATGTATCTTGGTTTGAATTAATTTATTCCAAATTTATTTAAACAAGTTTACGATAAAATTTATTTAAAAGAGTAGTCAAGTTTTAATTTGTTTAAATTAACGCATTATCTCAGAGTAGTTTGAAATATCAAATTAGTTTTATTAATTTAGCCATGATCTTGTCACGCTAGGTTTGAAAAAGCTTTCTTCAAACTGATTTCAAAATTTAGAAAATCGTTGAAATGAATGAAGACTTTAGTCAAATTTAAATCGATTCACTGGTAAATTAGTTTCATGTTTAATTTTTATTAGAAAAATTAATTTGAAACTAAATTCGTTCAAATTGTACTTTTTCTAATATGTAACTGAATAAACAGATTATCTAGTGCATACAAAGATTGGAAAAAACCATAGAACTTTAAATGATAGAGTTGTGCTAGAAGTACATTTATAGCATTTTGTCAACCAAGCCTGTTAGGGTTAAAGGTGCAAGAGACTATATATACAAAAAATGTTTAATACTGGTCGGATCGGGCCAGAAATTTTCGATCCGTGCCGATCTCTATTCTGCAGTAATACTACTAAATTCCTGCGTATTTTGTTTTTCCTAATGTCAACATAATGGATCTTGTAATTAATCAAGTTGAATTTTTATAACACGCATACACCGTTTTTGACAGTATAAAACCCATCGGCTATTACGTTTTTTGTCTAAAAGTGGAAGAGTATCGCATACCACTAAACAAAGCTTTTCAGTTGCCATAAGAAATCGAATCGATTTTGTGCAATATCGCTGTTTTCTAACAGATTTCGATCATACAGATTGATTGAATTGTGCTTCTTTATAACTTAGTCGAGATAAATTCATCTATTCGTTGAAACGATCTCATTAAACTCAAATTTTTTTATAGTAAATATGTCACAATCCTCTCTCACTTTATTTATGGAAGTCACATAAATAAAACTATGATTAAATCGGAAGCTCGACAATCGATCCGCGAAGAATAAACCCGTCATCTATCTTTTCACAGACAAGATCATATTCGTGAGGGTGTCTCGACTTTTGCTAAGAATACGATCGAGATAGGTTCGATAAACTTTCATGAACACCAAGTAGTCTTTTTCCTGACTTATAAGTACTTTGAACTTCTTCTCAAAAATAGGGATTGAGTTTACTGTATAAATTCATTCGTTTTATTACCGTTTTCGAGCTGTGTCGTATTTTCTATGGCAACTTTTGACACAAGATCTTAGAGACTTAATCAGCATCTCATTTTGTGGAGAATTGAAAGGGCTATTCAATGACATGGTCGAAAAACATCTGAAAGAAATTTTAAGATTACTCGGTTTTCTAGAAAACCGGATTTTTTAGAAATCTTTGTCTTAAGACACCATAAAGAATTTTCATTTTCTACGGTAGAGTTCTGTTTATATTAGAGTTACTCCAAAACACATCAATGATTATGTTCTCGTATAGAAAAAGCAACCAAACTATATACAAAACGAAAAAATAGGAATTCTACAAAATCTTACCATAGAATTTTGTAAGAAATGCATAAGGCTGCTATTACAAGAATCTTCTAGGATTTTTCCTTCAGTTCTATATCAAGAATCCTACGGAGGTCCTAACATAGGATTTTATAGTACCCTACGACAGGAATCCTATTATCAGTAAACTCTTATGGGATCTTGCAGGATCCTGGTAGAATTGCTTGATCTGGCTAAATTTTGATGAGAAATTCAATGACTAAAATTCTCGAATATGTCTCTAAATCTAAATAGATAAGTACTTATTTTTCGACTTCAGGTTAAGATTAATGATATAAATTTAAGATTTGAAATGAGTCTTAATAAATATATTTGTAATCAACTTAAATAAAGTATGTAGTAAAAATTCGTTTCGATTAAGTTTCAAATACAGATTAATATGAATTAGTTTTGTTTAAATTACTTTGAACAGATCTGAGATTGGTCTTTAATATAAACTAATATATTCACAACTAAAACTACTAGCTAAAGTTAATATTCTTAAACTCAATGCAATCAATTGTAGGGTTAAAAGGAACTTTGACGACTGATATATATGTTGATTTTTTTTTCGAAGTCTGATAAATTATATTTTTAAGATTTCATAAAATGCATACTTTGTCTTCGTAAAATTTTATTATTTACAATCAATAGTTAGACGTTTCGATTACAACGTTCAATCTTCTTCAGTATCAAAAATCAAAAAAGAAAAGAACTGGAATAGAAGAAAAACATTAGAGACAGTATATAGCATAGCAAATTTAGGTTATAATCGATGCAAACAAATTAGTCTACAGTGGAAATCCACCATTAAACAGTGAATTGAACCAAGGACAGGAGAGCCGTCTTATCCAGTAAATATAACTAAGGATATCAGCAACTCGACTAAAGAAACCACACAACGAAACCAAAATGCTAGATATGAATTCAGGAAACAGAATAAAAAAATATATAAGGAGTATCTTCGTTGAACTTTGAGAGATTTTCCAGATATAAGTTTAGTTTATTAACATGTTCTTCATCAATCTTCTATTCAAGTTGTACTTTTATATAAGAAAGGTCAACTTCGACATTATATATTTATGTCGTATATTTTAATCAAGGTCCGCTAAAATAAAATAAAATAAAACAGCCTAATTTTCTTTAACCCTTTCGTCATTCTAGTTTACACTGGTCGATGTTCTTGTGGGTATTCTTGCAAAATTCTTGTCTCTTGCCATTTCAGACAGGAATCTTCAATTTTGTCTTGACAGATCAGACAAGATTCTTCTTTTCATTTTTTATTGATTTTTCATTTTTTTTCGTTAAAGATTCTTGTCTGACACGGCAAGAGTCGTTGATGACAATATCACCAATTTGTTTTGTCAATTCCCGTGTTATATATAAGTTACATAATATAGTTCAATACAACACATAAATGTTTGTAAAAATTCCTTTAGATCTCATAAGATTCTTGTCAAGAGACAATCGAGTCTTTATATGCGCCTGTATTGGCATCAGAGCGTCCAGTTCCCATATATATGAAAAGAAAAGACAAAAAATGGGATTATATGTGCATTCTTTTTGTTTACAAGATTCTTTTAAGAATTACAAGACAAGATTCTTACAGGAAAAAATGGGTCAAGAATCTTGCAGGAAATCGCGTTCTTGTCAATTCAGACAAGAATCCGTCTCGCGATTCTTGTATGAACTCATAAAATGTGAATCGCAAAATATTTTACAAGTTTCTTGTCTGAAATGCCAAGGAACAAGAATCTTGCAAGAATATCCACAAAAACGTCGACTAGTGTAGTCGAGTGAGAGAAAAATAAGAAAAAGAAAAGGTAAAGTAAAGATATAAGTATATGTAAAGAGTAAGAATGGTTGCATTACAGTTTTAATATCTACTATACACATTGCATTGTAAACTAGAATTATTTTTTGTATATACACATTTTGTTGTATTAATTTTATCTTGGAATTTATTCTATGTTATACTGAAGAAGGATTGCACGTCGTAATCGAAACGTCTAACTATTCATTGTAAATAATAAAATTTTACGAAGACAAAGTATATATTTTATAAAATATTAAAAATATAGCATGTGGATTTCTTGTGAACGAATATATATTTTCAATAACTATGAAAAAAATCTCTTATATGAGAATAACAATCATTTTATTAGCATAAAATTGAAGCTTTCGATTGTTAGCAACTAAGATTGAAAAAACTAAACGTAACTACATGAACCGCTTTTCTTGCTCTCCTTGCTCTTCTTCCTTGTTCTATTACTTTCTCGACACTGCAATTCCATATAAATAGATTACTACTTACTAATGTGTTAATAATCACGGTAAAATTTGCTCGCTTAGTAACGGTTGGGACTGTACCAGCTGTCGTCGTTGTCGTTGTTGTACTTGACCTGCATAAAATAGCAATAAACTTGAAGCTCTTTGTGAAGATAATGCATTTCCAGAGGTTTGAAAATGTATAGTAAAACTTATGCAAGTAGACTTTAATGTATTCGAGATAACCTAAGCAAAAACGACCCAATTTTTTGGGTTATTTACCTAGATTCAGCTTCACATGCATAAGCTGAATCTAGATAAGTAACCTAAAAAATTGGATCGTTTTTGCTTGGGAAGGAAGCTAAGTGTATCTCCTTACTTCTTAATCAGTTAACTTCGACAAAACAAGTTATGTAGAAGCATTCGAAGTTTCTAGCTTCTTAATTATTATTTTCATCCTTACCCACTAGGATTCCAAATATTAAACGTCCAAAAAGTTGTATCAGTGATAGCTGCTGAGTCTGAGCCTTGAAGAGATAATAAAAAAACAAATGAGAAAGTTAGAATGTGAATGTGTATACATGAACGCTTTGAGCATAGCATTTCTATTATTTAGAATCCAATACTAATGATCTCTTATTAGTATTAAGTATTTACATTGCTGATATTTGTAATATATTTACTTACCACAGTATCCTGTTGCGCTTGCGACTCCTGAAATAAATTTCATAGTATATAATGTAAGTTTGAAAACAATGACGTTATGATGCACCTTTGTCAAATGTGATGTAGTACGTGTGGCCAACTGTCCAAAGAACATTGGTTAAAAATATGGTCGTATTACCAATGTACCCTACATTTGTATTATAGCCACAATCGTATTGTACTACGATACTACCATTAGATGCGTCCGTAAAATAAACATACGTCCCGTTTCTCCTCGAGCGTGTCACTGCTCTTGTCGCTGAAATAAGTAAATCGGTCTAGTGAAAGATGAAGAAAGAAGAAAAAGGTGTTCTAACCTTGAATCGAAAATATACTTTGATTGGCAAAAACAGTTCCAACTGGTGAAGCAGTTATTTGTGTGTAATTAGTGCCAATAAAACTCAAGGAATTGTTACTAACCACGTAAGTAATACACCATTGATCACTTTGAACGTTGAGTGAATCAATAGCACCTGCACAGAAAATATGAGATCCGAGTTGATCAGCTTGTGGTGTCCAGCTAAGTACAATGGTAAAGAATGTCGAGTTGATTTGGACAATATTACTCTTGGTCATGCCTTCAGGAGTACTAGTGCTGAAAGAGGTGATGGTTGTTCCAGAACAATAAGCTTCAGCAATCACTGTTTCATTAAAGACAACACCTAGAGCATAAAGTTCGGTTTTGGTTCCCTTTCTTCAATTACCATCATATACAACCTTACCAACTATAACAGCAACACAGTCTATAATGAAACAGCAAATACACGCAAGAGTATTAGAATACTAGCACATTTGTACCTCCATTGAATCGTTGACCAATAATCTGTGGTTTTACAGTGCACACGGTTGATTCATTATAAGCGTAAAACAGAAACTGAACAGGTACCGAACTCATAGGTGTCGTTGATGAACTTGAATAATAATCCTCGATTTGCAGAGCCACAGCAGAGTACAACCCTGGTTCGGTTAACGTAAATACTAGAGTGCAATTGTCTGGATAGAGAGTAGCACTGGGGAAAGACCCACACACACCGCCGCATTCATCAACACTACTCGCATTGGTAGCCCAGCGACATTTCAGCACGTCTGTTGTATCTGTATCAGACATAGTAACTACATGTACCTGTTGAATATTAACAGGTTTGTATAAAATAGGTAGAGTAGCTACCATGGGGGACGTGTTGATCAATCCGTCTGGTCTCGAAAGCAAATCAATTGTACTTGTAATCGACCATGTGCTATTAGCTCCCACTTCCAGTTGACTTGACCATTCACTATTTGTAAGACCAACTGTAATAGATGTATTGACTAGCAAGGAAACTGTGTAGAAATTTTCGCCCAAAGTTAGGTCATCATTGACACTAAAATCTGTGCAATATATACCGGCTGTGGGTGATGGCCAACCAGATGATGTACATGCTGAAGAGCCAGTTGGATAACAGTCAAATTCACCACCTTCAACAAGTAATGTTTTCAAATTAATTGTCGTTTGATCACAAAAAACTGATGATTGCGTCCATGACAAGCGCTGATAAACAATAACTTGAACGGAACCAGTTGTAACAGTATTGTCGAATGGTCTCCTGAAACAGTCCTACATGTTTCAATTCACACTTCTACAGGCAGCAGGATAGAGTATCATTTTCTTTGAAAATCATAGCGGGAATGTCTTTGCCTACCACAAAAAGACAACTAACCAGGCATGGACAAGTCTGAGTCCCGACTGGAAGATTTTTTGGCGCACTCGGACTGGAGATTTTTTTGAAGGACTCGGAGTGGAACTTGAGCTTTTGTATTTCGCGTCCGATCTATTCAACTTTTAACACAAATGAACAGAGAAAAATGACAGGCGAAATAATAACACCCTCTGTTTCACAAGAAATTGAAATTTTTGTTCGGGAGACGGACATACAAAGTAACCTTATTTTCGAAAAATCAAATATCTATCCAGGGCTCAGTAAATTAAAAAAGAGCAATAAACCACACTCATAAAAAAAGAATCTAAAAGATTATCGGACTCGGTACCCCTCAGACTCACCCATGCTTGCAACTAACTAACACTATGATGATGAGATTAATCTGGGAGTTAAAATACCTGCTGCAAGGTCTGGTCTAAATAGGGTAAGCCGACTTCCATCTTCTTTGGCTTTAAAAAAGGACGTTGTTGTATTAGAGTAAATGTAAGTGTATTCTGCTATATTACGTTTTGTCAAAGCTACCAATCAATTCCAACCCTGATGTCGTAACTTCAGGTATGATTTGATCGGGACACGATTCTTCCACGAACAGAAATTATATTTTATATACTCCTGTAGTTTCCATAACATCTGTCGATGAGAGTGATAAGAAAGAGACACTGTGCGAGTGAGTTACGTGATAATATTGTTGAGAGACGATATTTGTTTATAGTGAGAAGTTGATAAAAGAGACAGCTCGATCTGTGGAAGCGTCGCGACATATTTGTGCAGATCATACCGTTTCTCGTATGAGAACAAATGATACGTACCAGCTGATTGTACCCCCAAGAAAGTATGTAGAAAAAGTTTTATGAAGGCATAATAGGACAATGATACATTTAAGTTCCAGCGTCATTATCATGTGGTCGCAGCGTACGAGGATATATTTAGTCAAGAATTTAATATGGACACGATTCGTTTCCATTCATACACATTTGAATGCGTTGTTTATTATTTTATGCAGTGATGAGAGTGAAAAATATGCTTTTTTTGTCACACATCCTTTTAACTTTAAGCTCTTTCAATTAAAAACTTTCTTGTTATTACAGTTGGTGAATTTGACTGTTATCCAACTGGCTCTTCAGCATGTACATCATCTGGTTGGCCATCACCCACAGCC